GCCACGGAGTAGCTCTGGGGCAGAGGGGGGCGTGAGGGCGGGTGTGGGGGGCCGCCACTCACCTTGCCGTGGCTCTGGGGCGGGCTGGGGGCGTGGGGCCCGCCCACTCACCTTGCCGTAGTTGCCCCAGGTGACGGTGATGCGGTTGGTGGCCGAGGACAGGTACATGAGGTGGGTGAGGTTGATGGGGCGGCAGGGCCTCTTGGGCTCCACCCCGGGCTTGTTGGAGGGGTAGCAGCCCTGCGGGACAGGGCGCCGTGAGTGCGGGCCGGGGCGCCCCCACCACGCCCCCCGCCGGGCGCCCGCTCACCGGCACGGAGCAGTAGCTGTGGTTGACCTTCACGGCGATGCCGGGCGGGTACTGGTCCTCCTGCGGGCGGCTGGTGTCCGAGTAGCAGATATTAGAAACAGGTGGAGGGGCCGCGGTGGGGGCGCGGGAGGTGGGCGGCGGCCACATGGACACTCACCTGAGGACGACCTGCACCGCCTTGACCCCGGGCTGCAGCTCTCTGCGCGATGGGCAGACCAGAGGGGAGAGGGGCCGTGAGACAGGAGCCCGCTGGCCGCGCGGACCGCGGACCCTGAGCTCGCCGGGGCCCACCCACAACATCCCTTGGCAAGCGGAAACCCACCCGCTGCCTGAGTGGCCCAAGGCCAACGTCACCAAGCTAGAGGCCACCGGGAGGGCGCCGCAGCCCGGCCCACACAGGAAGAGGACAGGGCCTCGTCCAGAGATGCGGGAAGCAGGGCGCGTGTCCTCTGCTGGCCCTGCACCGCCGGCCTGAGGCGCCCAGGCCACAGCCACGTGCCCAGGTCTGACAGGCTGGGGGGGAGGGGCGAGGCGAGTTCCTCCCTGGGGGATCTCTCCCGTCTCTGTCTCTCCCTGGTGAGACACATGCACAGGCCCCCTGGGGACAGCGCCCTTGCCGGGAGCAGGACAGCCTGGTGGCCGTGTGGCCCTGCTGTGGAATGGCGGTCACCGCAGGACAGGCCTCCCTGGCTGGGCTCTGGCCAAGGCCTGTGGTGACCCAGCAGCAGACGCCCACCCCCGGGAGGCAGGGACTGATGCGGGGAGCCAGGAAGCGGCTAGCAC